AGAAACGAGCGCTACCAGTCATCTAGGGCGTCGGGTTCGACCTGAACGATGTACGTTCGGCGGCTGCTTGCCATAATCAAGGTATGCAAACTTAACAGGGTAATTACAGAGAGAATAGATATGAGAGCCATTTTTTAACAGGGGCTTTCAGTTTGAATACTTTGGGCAGTTTTAGGGAGGGAGCTGCAATGCTAAATATATTGTGGATTTGTGTTAAGTCCTAACCTTGCTTGCTCACCATGTATTCATATATTGGTGAATACATCATAAATAGCACATTAATATATGTCTTAAAAGTCAAATTATTGCATTTTCCCCCACACCGTTGACATTTCACACAAATTTTTTCTTTACAAGATCATAACTTGCTCATTTGTCAAGTCATTCTAAATTGAATCTTATGTCATATAACCTTTTCCCTTCTTATATACCCAAAATCGATTATAACTTTTTGCCTCACCTAATTATTTGCTGTTATGTTTGGTAAAATTAGTTGATAATCTAGCTGATAGCCGATAAACTAACTTATAGCTTATCAGTAATTTTCGAGCTTATAACTTATAGCTTATGACTTATAGCTGAAAAGCTAGCTTATGTAATTAAAGTTTTTGGTATAATTAACTGATAAACTAGCTGAAATAAAAATTTCAACGAGCTTATTTGAAAAGCTACCCAAAGAAACTTATGAAATAAGCTCGAGCTTTTTAAAAAAGCTCGTCCTACCAAACAGAGTTTATTTGAATACAGGGAGTCAAATAAGCTATAAGTTAGCTTCTTTGTCTACCAAACATAGCTTTAGTTATTAGTTTTCCTTAGTTATTAGTTTTTTCCACATAAGACATGATGATCCGAAGTCACAACTCAATTAAGATTGTCTCATTCGAGTATAACGATAACCGGACTTTTGACAAGAGTGCCTCGTCGAAGTCCACAATAGAAATCTCTTGCATTGCCCGATATACTAAACATCACTTAGTATGTCAAGCTCTTGTCGAGCCCCAAAAACTGAAGATATGTGGGGTCCACCCTCGGGTCGATTCCCTGCAGCCTAGCCAACCTTAGTGTGTAACCCGAGTTCGACTCATTTGCATTGGTAACCGTACTACTATTATGATCTTACTAATGTTGAAATTATGTATTTTAAAAATGTCAAAAAGTCTAAATAAATTCCGGAAAAGATGCACATTCTTTTTTTCTCAATAAAATTGAAGACTAAACCAAAAAAAAATAATTCGACAAAAATACACTATTCACTTCATCTTATTTTTCTCGACGAATTTCACCAACACAACTAAAAAGTAATTATTTTTATATATTTTCCAACCAAAAAAAAAAAAAAAACACTATTATTGCATAATTCTAACTACCAACTACCAGTTTAATTTTAGACCTAAAAATAATAATTCTAACTACAAATTGCTTTATATAACAACTGCATTACCATCAACATAAAGAGGATATTGTATTTGATCCCCAAATCCAACATAAAATGTAGCAGGTAGACTTAATTAATATAAGACTCATAGGAATATTAATATTTATTGCAAACTTTAATAATTCACTAACTACATTACATTCTACATTATCATTTATCAATGCCCATTTAATCATATAAATACCCCTCACACCATCAGGCCCTCATCAACATCCAACATTACTAATATCCTCAAAGCACAACTATTTCATATAGTTCATTAATCTTGAAATTAAATATTACTATGGCTGCAGGGCTTGAGCTCGGTGCAAAGGGTTCAGGTTCGGGTTCGGGTTCAGCACCACAAACCGGGATGAACCGCGGAGTTGCCGTGCTCGACTTCATCCTTAGGCTCGTAGCTATTGTAGCGACTCTAGCAAGCGCCATTGCCATGGCCACAACCGACGAGTCGCTTCCCTTTTTCACTCAGTTCATCCGGTTCAGGGCCGAATATAACGACCTCCCGACATTTACGTAAGTGCATGTTTTTTTCTTCGATATAACTTTGTATAATGCAGCTCGACACTAATTTTCTGCGAAATATTTTGACTTCTTAATAGGTTTTTTGTGGTGTCGAATGCTGTCGTGAGCGCCTACTTACTTCTCTCCCTGGCTCTGTCGATCTTCCACATCGTAAGGAGCGGCTCGCAAAACAGCCGAGTCGTGCTCATTTTCTTTGACGCGGTATAAAGCATAAATAATATACCAATAAATTTATTTTGGCAAAAATGTATTTTTAGCCTTGTAGGTCAGTTTTAGTCCCAAAGTATTAACTTTTCGGCTTTTGGTTGTGTGATTTAATATTTTGTTGATTTTTAAATTACAAGACTGAAATTACAACAAAATTTTAATTTACAAGACTTAAACTGTTAATAAAAAATCTATAAATTTGGAAATTTATTCGCAGTACCATGAGGCGAAATGTTAGAATTTTGAGACTAAAATTGCTATTGCATTAAACTCAAAATGGAATTTAGGGATTTATTTTTTCCTCTCTAATTCATTGAAGTTTATGATTTTCGGAATCGAATAATCGAGAAATTTACATTTTTTTTTTTTTTTTTTTGCGAAAGGGAATGCTGGCGCTTCTTACAGCCGGGGCCTCGGCTGCAGCCGCAATCGTGTACCTAGCGCACAAGGGCAACGCGCGGACCAACTGGTTCGCGATCTGCCAGCAGTACAACTCGTTCTGCGAACGGACTTCGGGCTCGTTGATCGGGTCTTTTGGTGCGATTATCGTGCTCGTCTTGCTTATTCTTATGTCGGCCGTGACTCTGGCTCGCCAGCGTTGATCGTGACAATTAATCCATTGTTTGGTGTGGTGGTTTGGTTATGTATGTACTGTGTGGTAAATCAAAGTTGCCTTGGTTTGTTATTTGTAATGCTGTCCTTTGGATTTGAATGCAGAGTTTGGCGTTTTTTTCTACTTGGTTTTATTTTGTCATATTATAAAACTAAGGTGCTGTTTAAAAAAAAAAACTGTAAATAAAAATATGAAATAAAATAGAATTATATTTCTTTTCATAAATAAAAATTATATTATATGTCATTCATAATTATATAATAACAAATTTTATTTATTTAGGATTTAGCAATTGGATAAATTTATAAATCAACTGTATTACACTCTAAATTAGAATAGTTGTTATAACATGGCTAGCGGGTATTACATACGACGAATATCATTGTAAATAAAAATAATAATATTTTTTTTAATAATTATTTAAATTTAAATTTGGGACTCAATAACATGAATCCCAAAAAAAAAACCCATCAACCATCACTGCGAGCTAGCACTCACAGGGATGGCCACGAGGGGCTTCATTTTCCGCAACAACAGTCCGAACCCATCCGTCATGTCCAAGTCCTCTGGCCTCATCCCGTCCGGCAACTCCCAATCGAAACCGTGCACGAGGTTAGCCAGCATTAGACTCACCATCCGCACAGCAAGGCCCAACCCGGGGCAGATACGTCGGCCCGTTCCGAACGGGAGGAACCTGCAGTCCCTGCCCCGGATGTCGACATCCGAGCCAACAAACCTCTCGGGCCTAAAACTAGTCGAGTCGGCCCAATATACCGGGTCCCTCTGTATGGACCACACGTTCACGAGGACTTCAGTGTCCTCGGGAATCGTGTATGGCCCGATGTTGGCCCGTTCCTCCGTGAGGTGGGGTACGAGGAGCGGGATCACCGGGTGGAGCCTCAAGGTTTCTTTTATTACCGCATCCAAGTACAAGATACGGGGTATGTCTTGTTCCTCGACGAGTTTTCCAGGCGGGATGTTGATGTCGAAAATTTCTCGTTTGAGCTTGGCGAGCACGGGCGGGTGGCGGAGGAGCTCCGCCATGGCCCACTCCATCGTTATGGTGGTCGTGTGGGTCCCGGCCACAAATAAGTCCTGCATGCCATTTTGTAAAAGATTAAGCTTTATGATTCGAGGAAGCTTTACCAACATAACCAACCGTATCTTTTTTTCGCTAGCGCTCTTCGACTGAACGTAACAACAAAAACAAGTCTCTAAGAAGCCCAAACAAAGCTTTTTTCTTACCATGAACAAAACCATGATATTCTCATGAGTAAGCTCTTGGCTCGAACCGTTTTCCTCCGCGTCGGCATAATGGAGCAACACATCCAAGAAATCTCCACGCCTCGCGTGCCCGCCAGCCCTCTCCCCGACCCGTCTCCCGATGACATCCCACAACAACTCGTGCACCCTACCGTACAACGGCGTGATCTCCCGCCTGATCCCCTGCACGTCAAAAGGCCTCAGCCAGGGCAAGTAATCCGCCGCGTTAGGCTTCATCCCAAGCTCCACGAGGCGGGCAATCAGCTCCCGCAGCTCCCCCGTCCCGCCCGACGACCCCATGTCGACCATATCGCCCGAGAACACCGTGTTGGATAAAAAATTCAGTACGGTCCCGAAAACTAAACTTTCCACGTGCAGAGCCTCACGGGCCGTCCGGGCCCGTTCGGCCAGTTTGATCATTTTAGACATCATCCTGTGGCGGAGATCGACAAGCGAGTCGAGCCTTTGGGTCGTGAAGAGCTCGGTGTTGCAAACCCGCCGGAGCTTCTTCCAGTGTGGGCTCAGGCCCGAGGCCCAGACGAGCGACGTGTCGTGGAATTTCCCGACCGTCACTGCCTCGGGCCTGGGCCGCCCGACGAAGGCCCGGTCGTTTGTCCGGAGGATTTCTTTCGCCACGTCCGCTGACGTGGCGACCACGATTTTTTTTGTTCCGAATCTAACGGTCATCAGGGGCCCGTGGGCTTGGGCCAGCTTGGCTAGGGACTCGTGGGGCCGGTTTCCGATGGCGAGGAGGCTTCCGAGAATCGGGAGGCCCGTCGGGCCCGGAGGAAGCCTTGGCCTGTTTTTCTTGTTGAGTATTAAGATGGTGTTAAGGAAATGGAGGCATAGTATGAGGATTGAGCAGAGTAGGAAAGTGTTTATGATATCCATTTTTTTTTTTTTTTTTTTTTTTTTTTTTTTTTTTTAGTATTAATGTGTGTTTGTTAGTTGAAGATGTTCTGCTTTTGGGTTTGAGTCTTATGTATAGTGTGGTTGACATTTTAGAGTGGACAACATTTTCTATTGTCCATTATGATAAAAGTTATCATTCATAATTTGAGAATTTATCATTATTGGCCAAGATTATATCACTTCTTGGTAACTGAACATTTGAGAATTTATCATTATTGGCCAAGTATTTGAATATTAACATGTGACCCTTGAAAAGTGATTTATATTTTGCAACACATTGGCGTGGTTAAAGCTCCAATGTCATGGATCTCGAGGTCAGCCTTCAATGCGCACGTGCGACTCCCTTTTGCCTCAAGCATAGGTATTTTTTAGTCAAGATTAATTTGTGTTTAGTTAACTATGGCGGTTATCGAACCGAACAGAACCGAACTTAAGGTGTTCGAGCTCGAGTTCGACTAATTTTCGAACATGTTCGTGTTCGTTTGTTTAATAAACGAACAAAAAATTTCGTTCGTATTCGTTCATTTATTGATAAGTCGTATTATTGGCATGTTAATTGTCATGTTTTCTACATTTTTCGGTGTTTGTTTGAGCTTAATTATTGATTTTAATTGATTTCTATAATTTTTGTAGGATATCTCGGAATTTGAAATTTTGTGATGATTGGAGGGCGAAAGAGACGAATTTGAGCTAAGGCGTGGGCACGCTAATTTCCTACAAGAGTTGGAAGAAAGAAGGAGTCTCAAGTTGGAAAGAGAATAATAACACCTTTAGGAGTTTTTATTTATTTAAAGACTATTATTATTATTATTTTATTAGGATATTTTGGAGAGAGAATAAACTCTTTATTATTTTCTACGTATTATCTCTTAGA